GGCCCCAGGACACTGCTTTGTTTAAGACGGCCCCTCCCAGGCCCAGAGAAACCCCCCCCCTCCTTTCCCAGTCCCCCCACTTCTGCCCCTCAGTTCCCCCAAAGAGGCGGAGGTGCCTGGGAGGGGATTTCCTGACAGAACTTTCGGTTTCCTTTCCCCTCCTCGCTCTGGCCGGTTGGGCCTGGGCGTCTGCCTAGCAACAATGACGACATTAGAGATCCTTTTTTTCTATTGGTTGAGCTTGGCCAATCGCCGGCTTGCTCTGGATTGTTGCGCTGTTGACCACGCAGGCCTCTTCCGTAGCCTGCAATTTCCTGCAAGAGGAGCGCAGTTTAAGGGTCGCGGCCAGGATGGCTCTGCGCTCTGCGCCCCTCTGGCTCCTGGTGCTGCTGGCGGTCGCCCTACGGCAGAGCTGCGTTGGTGAGTCCCTTTGGGGCCTTTCGGGAGATCCGGCCCCTTTTCCTTCCCGGGACTCTTTCTCTCTCCTCCCCCCAAAAGTTTATTCCCAGAAATAGAGTCCCTGATTCGGTCCTCTTTCCAGTCCGCTCCCTCTGCCCCTTTGGCCACTTTCAAAAGGCGTGGAAGGGACTCTGCTGTCGCTTACACACACACAAGGGTGGACCTTCCAGACGTCAATCAAGTCTTCCTGGGCGCCCCCAAGCTCAGTTCTTTCCCTCCCCCGAAGTGGCGGTTGTCGGAAAGCGGCGTTTGCAGGGGATCAAGGCAGTCCACGAACTTCCTGGCTGCCTTCAGCGCAACAACTCCTGCCTGGCTCTTCCTTCCTACTTTGGGCCAGATTTGGTGGCTCTTTCTGGCTTCTGGTGCTGGGAGGATCCGGCTCGTTTCTCGACTCGCTTCCGTGTATTTCAAGACACGGAGGCTGTAGCCTCATCTGGACTCTCTTAACTCTCCCCCTCTGGGTCCCTTGCAGGCGCCTCCTCCCACTCCCTGAAGTATTTCTCCACCTCCATCTCGGTGCCCAGTCAGGGGCTGCCCCACTTTGTCATTGTGGGGTATGTGGACGGTCAGGTCTTTGTTCACTACGACAGCCACAACCGGAGGGTGAAGCCTCGAGTCTCCTGGATGGAGAAGGTGGGGAAGGAGGATCCCCAGTACTGGGACATAAACACCCAGAGGGCACGTGGCGCTGAGGAGGCGTTCAGAGTCGGCCTGGAGACTCTGAGGAATCGCTACAATCAGAGCGAAGGTGAGTGATGGGTCTGGTGGCTCCTCCGGCCCCATATTCCCCTCCCCAGGAACAGGGTAGAAGAGAAAGAGGGTCCCCCCCAGAGGAAAGGCTGCTGCCATGCTTTTAAAAAATATTTTTAAAATATGTTTCTTCTTTCTTTTACACTAATGAATGT